CACACACACACACATCTGTTATGTCATCATCATATGTTGAAAAAGGCACTAAATCACTTGCGCACTAACTTTACCACAGTAACAGGGTGAAATGCCTCTTAAACATGGTGAAACTACAGCTACTTTTGCAACATTGTAAAAAGTGATGCTCTTCCTCAGTGTCTTTGTCATTTTCCAGCACAAATGTCTAAAGATTCTTAAATCAAAATACATTTACTGGAGACGCAAAATGATATTAAGATATCAAGACTTATTTTCTGAGAAATGTATTAAAATAAAGTGAGTTAAAGCTTTAAACAAGAACAAATATTTGAAAGTGAGGTCAGATATTTTTCTGATTTTATTTCTTGTTTTAACACACACTCTCTCTCAGACACACTCACTCACTCGCACACACACTCACTCACTCACTCACTCAAGGGTTTGTTTTAAGGGTAAAGTCACTTAATTTTGCTACGTTTTGAAAACAACAAATATCTGATGTTATTTTGCCTCTCAAATACATGTATCTTGATTTAAGGATGTTTGCATGAGATGTAAAATGACTTAACCAGGTTTCTGCACGTTTGAAGGCAGATTTGATTGAGTCAGGATAGGACACAATACATCAATATGGTTTCACCTGAGAAGCAAAATGACAAAATAAGAAGTCTTGTTTTCTGAGAAACTGATCAAAATGAAGTGAATTTTTGACCAAAACAAGAACAAATATCTGTCACTGGCCTCAGAAAAATCAACTTCATTCAAATAATAATTAAAAAAAACGTTTTCAATCCCCATGGACAGATATTTGCTCTTGTTTTAATCAAAAACTCACTTCATTTTGTTCAGTTTCTCGAAAAAAACCCAAAAATTTTTGCAGTGAATGCAACATTTAATTACGTTTAACATAAAACGTAATACTTCCTTAATACATACTGATTTAAGACCTTTTTAGAGTCTAATTTGTCCAAAACATGACATGCAAAAACCCTGCTTACGATAAGTCTTGTTTTCTGAAAAATGTATCACTTACTGTATGTTTACACCTAAAACAAGAACAAATATCTGTCAATGGAGTCAGAAAAACCTATATACAGTAATATAAAGGGAAAACAAGATTTTTTTTCACACTCCATTGGTAGACATTTTGTCTCTTATTTTAAGCATAAAGTCATCAAGTTAAGACGTTTAGATATTTATGCTGGAAAACCAGACAGAAGTACTGAGGAAGAGCATGATTTTTCGCAGTGAAGTCGATCTCTGCTCGGTCTGAGAGTGATTCTGCAGGCTCGTCTTCTCTATAATTTCACCAAACACTTCAGATATAATGAGGTCCCCAAATACGTGAGGACAATCTCCGGAAGCTTTCTAGTGTGTGCTGGAGAGCTCCAGTCATTCCCAGTGAAGGTGAGCCGGGTCTCAGTGTAATAAACCGATATGTCATCATCACATGTTGAAAAAGGCACTAAATCACTTGCGCACTAACTTTACCACAGTAACAGGGTGAAATGCCTCTTAAACATGGTGAAACTACAGCTACTTTTGCAACATTGTAAAAAGTGATGCTCTTCCTCAGTGTCTTTGTCATTTTCCAGCACAAATGTCTAAAGATTCTTAAATCAAAATACATTTACTGGAGACGCAAAATGATATTAAGATATCAAGACTTATTTTCTGAGAAATGTATTAAAATAAAGTGAGTTAAAGCTTTAAACAAGAACAAATATTTGAAAGTGAGGTCAGATATTTTTCTGATTTTATTTCTTGTTTTAACACACACTCTCTCTCAGACACACTCACTCACTCGCACACACACTCACTCACTCACTCACTCAAGGGTTTGTTTTAAGGGTAAAGTCACTTAATTTTGCTACGTTTTGAAAACAACAAATATCTGATGTTATTTTGCCTCTCAAATACATGTATCTTGATTTAAGGATGTTTGCATGAGATGTAAAATGACTTAACCAGGTTTCTGCACGTTTGAAGGCAGATTTGATTGAGTCAGGATAGGACACAATACATCAATATGGTTTCACCTGAGAAGCAAAATGACAAAATAAGAAGTCTTGTTTTCTGAGAAACTGATCAAAATGAAGTGAATTTTTGACCAAAACAAGAACAAATATCTGTCACTGGCCTCAGAAAAATCAACTTCATTCAAATAATAATTAAAAAAAACGTTTTCAATCCCCATGGACAGATATTTGCTCTTGTTTTAATCAAAAACTCACTTCATTTTGTTCAGTTTCTCGAAAAAAACCCAAAAATTTTTGCAGTGAATGCAACATTTAATTACGTTTAACATAAAACGTAATACTTCCTTAATACATACTGATTTAAGACCTTTTTAGAGTCTAATTTGTCCAAAACATGACATGCAAAAACCCTGCTTACGATAAGTCTTGTTTTCTGAAAAATGTATCACTTACTGTATGTTTACACCTAAAACAAGAACAAATATCTGTCAATGGAGTCAGAAAAACCTATATACAGTAATATAAAGGGAAAACAAGATTTTTTTTCACACTCCATTGGTAGACATTTTGTCTCTTATTTTAAGCATAAAGTCATCAAGTTAAGACGTTTAGATATTTATGCTGGAAAACCAGACAGAAGTACTGAGGAAGAGCATGATTTTTCGCAGTGAAGTCGATCTCTGCTCGGTCTGAGAGTGATTCTGCAGGCTCGTCTTCTCTATAATTTCACCAAACACTTCAGATATAATGAGGTCCCCAAATACGTGAGGACAATCTCCGGAAGCTTTCTAGTGTGTGCTGGAGAGCTCCAGTCATTCCCAGTGAAGGTGAGCCGGGTCTCAGTGTAATAAACCGAGGATGAGGCTCTGGAGGAGAATCTGGAGCGCTTAGAGTTTGTTTTCAGTGCTGATGATCTTCAGACTCCAGTGTGTGTGTTTGGAGCAGGACCCGAGGAACCTGTCAAACATCAGTCTCACGGCTCTGATAAAGTTTACTGTGATTTATGAGCTATTATCTATTTATACTTCAGAAACTATGATGCATTAAAAAACATGACAAACAACCAATTTCAGATGTTAAAGGGAATCTGCAAATATTATAATGCATTTTAACTTTGGTTGCAATTATTTATGAAAAGATGTAATGCATTGCAATGTACATTATGAATACCTTCATGATAATGCATTAGACATAAAGGCTTTAAATGTTACTGAAAATAAATTCTAGTCTTAGACACTTCAAAATGTCATGTCTAATTCAGTGTGTTACTTGCCATTTCTTTTCATTTGTGAAATTTACTAGCAATTTCTGAATGAAATGTGCTTCAAAGTAAATCATACATCTTTTTTTTTTTCCAGTGTATGTGTCGAGTGTTCTGCAGACTAATATTTATTTTTATATTGTAATTTTGTTGCCCAGCATTCTCAGTCCTCGTTCACTTTCATTATATGGAAACGAGCCAGAACACGTTTTACCTTTTGCATCTTGTGGAAAAAGAAAGTGATGAGAGCATCTATTATTTCTCAGACTGAAGAAATGAATCAATCTCATCATCCTGGTCGAATACAGAAACAATCATGTGAGGTTGTAAAATGCGAGGTATTTTGGTAAACAGAGGTCAGCTGACTGACATGCCAACTGGCAAGAGGGTCACATTAGTGGACAGATCCTGCCAAACCTGCCTCATTACCCATGATTCATAACTGTGCTTAAACAAATAGAGCTGCCGTCCCTCCTTTCATCTTTAATTTCACCGACTCATTAGGAGGATCGCCTAGATCCGCACGGTAGACAGATAAGACCACCACCTGCGGCCCAGCCCTCCCCTGTACACACACACACACACACACACACACACACACACAAACTTGCACACACACACACACAAAGGCACGCACGCACACACACACACTTGCACACACACACACACGCACGCACGCAAGCACGCACACGCACACACGCACACACTCCTTCATTTGCCTTAATTGACTGTGTGTGTTGAGGAGAAACAGTAAAGCTGACTGCACTATTCAGACAGAAATAACTCCAGTTTCGTTTCAAGCCCAAGTGAAATGTTGTATTCTGTTTCTATTCTCAGACAAAACTCTGACTGTCTGTGAAAGATCTGATGCGATGAAGATCACAAACTCTGCTCCTCCTGTCTGGAGCTCTTAAACACCAGAGTCTCCTGCATCACTGAACACGAGAAGATCAGACGAGATCCCCGCCTTCAACACGAGTAGAGCTGTATGACATCTCTTTTTCAAATGCAGTTTTTTATCTGTTTACATTTGTTTTGGATGCTGCTTTTTCTGTTTACATTTTTCTGGATTTTGTTTAACTTTATCAAAAAGCATGTCCGCTTATTTGAAATCATAAAGCAAACTGTTTAACAATTTATTCCAAATTGAACAAAAATTACTTTTTTTTTAGAGCCCTATGAAATCATTTTTATTAATCAAAAAGTACTAAAGTTTAGTAAAAATTTTTTTTTTTTAAAGTAAGTAAATAAAAACGAGCCCTATGAAATCTGATTTATTTTTTCCTCAAATTTTGCCTTTTTTTCTGAAATTCACTGTTTTCAGTTTTATTTTTTCTGGATTCTGTTCACAGTTAACAATTTTAACAATCAAAATCACATTAAATTAATTGAATTCATTCATCTTGAACAATTTATTACTCTATTACTTTTTTGATTAAATGTTTTATTTTATGAAATGTTATTTATTTATTAATTAATTTTATTTTCCCCAGACAGTAAACATTACCACTTTAATTGTTCTTTTAAATTTAATTAAATGAAAATTTAACAATTCTTTTTATTATTCTGGCAAATAATTTGTGTGATATTTCTTAAAAAATAAAGTCTGCAGGTCAAAGGTCACAGCAGCAGCTGTTGAGTGTGATAGTGAATGTGTGCGAATGTAATGATGAAGATTCACGACGAGTCTGTGACCCTTCACACAAACCAATGCATCATAATTAAAGGTGCAGTAGGAGATCTTGGAAAATGCTAACTTTAGCCTGATAGCACTGAAAGCGAAGATCCCACCCTCTGTGCAATCGCCGTCCAAAGCCACGCCCCCTGAATGCATATAAGCTCACAGACCAGAATACCAGAGACAACATTACTACAATAGGCTACATCAGCGGTTCCCAAGTCCAGTCCATGCTCCGAAGTGAAGTTGCTTTCAACGGATTTCCCCCGCTCAGGGAGGAGGGAGCAATGAACACTGTGTAGGGATCATATCGATCGGAACACAGTTCATGCACGTAGCTCACTTCTAACGAGCTGGTGATCTGAATCGGGTGTGTTAACTAAGCGAGACATGCAAAATATGCAGAGCGGGGTGCGCGAGAAAACTTTAAAAGTACTACAATAGCAGGAAGGAAGATGGGGTTGTTGATGTTTGTCTGCACAGCGTGCGTGAACGCGCTGATGACGTATCTGTCTGCGCGAACCCGGTGCGCGGAGGTATGCAGATACATACGTTGACAGGCAGGTAGGAAAGCCAATTAAAATGCTCGGACCGAGCGTTTTGATTGGACGAACATTTCTTGGTCCTACGCCTTCCACAGAATATACAAATACAGATAAATACATTTGGACCACTTAACTCAATGCTCGCTATCGGGAGGTGAAGAGACCTTCAACCAGCATAACACAACATGTTTCTGAAGACAATCAGCTACTGCACCTTTAACACCAAACGGCCCATGCTGCCATGAAGAGTTACTAACGAACCCATGCAAAGATTTTATTATGAAACGCCATAAACAAAACAAACAGTGCTTCAACTTAAATTTATGTATGTAATTTGCCAAGGCAACATTTCTAATTTTCTTTTAGTTGGAGTCTAATTTTTATATTTGATCTTGAATTAGCTTTTATTTTTTAGCTTTTTATTGTAGTTTAATATTTTGGTATTTTTGCTATGTGCTGTTGTCATATTTTATTAGTTTTTGTTCGTTTTAAATATTACTATTTTGGTTTAATTCGTTTTTATTCAGTTTTAATTTCAATTTTATTTTGTATTAATGTCTGTTTAATAATTGTAATGCTTCAAATTAAATGTATTCCCTTTTGTTTCCAAGGAAACATTTCTAATTATTCTTTTTAATGTAATATTTATATTTCATTTTGAATGAGTTTTTAGTTTTGTATATTTTCACATTTCAATTATTATTATTTTATTTTATTTATTTTGTTTAAAACTTTAAAACTTAAAAAAAATTTAAACTTTGTTTTGTTTCGCTATGTGCTTTTGTAATTTTTATCAGTTCTTATTCTTTTTAAATATTATTATTTAGGCTTGTTTTTATTTCTGGTTTTAGTTTGTATTAATTTTCGGTTAATATTTTTTTTGTGCTGCAATTAAAATTTAATTGTTAAATTATTTAGCTTTAATGTTTTTATTTCAGTTTTTATTAATTTACAGTTATAATTTTAGCACTTCTACTGCTAATTTATTTGAATTTAAGATTTTCATCTGATGGTTATATTTTATTTAATTTCAGCTTTATTTAAAATAACAAAAATGTTTTAATAGTTTTAGTTCATGAGGAAAGAATAATAATAATAATCATAGTAATAAATATTGCATAAAATAAGTTTAAGAAATAAGACAAAAAAAAAATAAGACTCTTTCTGCAGGAGTATTTTTTATGATTATTAGAGAATCAGATTGTTTTCGTGGCAGCAGTCGAGTGAAACGGCTGAGTGTTTACTAGCGTGTGTTAATGAAGCACAGGTGATGATTTGAGACGCAGCCGCTCACCTTTAGCCGTCCTGTACTGCACAGGCTCCGACAGCGGCCCCCCTCCTTTGGCGTTCTTGGCCTGGATGCGGAAGAAGTAGACGGTGTCCAGGTTGAGGTCCATGACCTGGTGCGTGAGCCGGTCTCCGCCGATGGGCTCCATCACCCAGTCGTCGATGGGCATGCTCTTGTCCAGCGTGTAGTACAGGATATAACCTGACGAGCAGGGTTAAACGGGTTAGTGCGGCGCTGACTCTGAGGTCAAAGGTCGAGTCTCTGCTGAGTGAGAATGTGAGTGTGATGCGAGGAAAATTAGGCCGAGATAAAGACACACGAGAGCTTTCAAATACCAGACGAACCCTCAACAGCCTCTTAATGGGACTGTGTGTGAGTGTGTGTGTGTGTGTGAGTGTGTGTGTGTGTGTGTGTGTGTGTGTGTGAGTGAGTGTGTGTGTGTGTGTGTGAGTGTGAGGGTGTGTGTGTGTGAGTGTGTGTGTGTGTGTGTGTGTGTGTGTGAGTGAGTGTGTGTGTGTGTGTGTGAGTGTGAGGGTGTGTGTGTGTGTGAGAGTGAAGGTGTGTGTGTGTGTGTGTGAGAGAAAGTGTGTGTGTGTGTGAGAGAAAGTGTGTGTGTGTGTGTGAGAGAAAGTGTGTGTGTGTGTGTGAGGTTCAATTTTCCTGCTTCTTATCAAACTCAATACAGTGTCTCTGCAGGGACTCAGACACACACACACACACACACACACACACACACGCACGCACGCACGCACGCACACACACACACAGATGAAGGTCAAGTGAAGCATCGCGTTTGTGCTGAGACACATGAAACATCTGTGTGTGAGCCATCGGAGCAGCATGAGTGTTTTAATCACTTAAATTAACAGTCTGTTATCATTTTCTGACCCTCACAGCATCAAGACTCTTTTATATGCCTTATAGCATGGATAAAAAAATAACTAAATAAATAGGCAAAATGTACTAAAATACATTTACAGAAATATATTTTATAACAATATATTTCTTTAATATTTTTGAAAAATAAAAAGAACATATATATATATATATACATTTGTAGTTTTAGTAATGAATAACAACACTGGGAAACACTGGGAAAAGAAAAGTCTTTATATATAATGCATTATTAAAGTATTTTAATGCATTAATTATGCCTTGTAATGCACCTTATAATGATATCATGAATAATTGTAACCACAGTCCTAATACATTATAACACATTGTTGCACCTTTAGAAAGTGTAATGCATTAAAACACAAGACAAACAATAATTTTTGGTTGTAACAAGAAATCTGCAAACATTATAATGCATTTTAACTATTGCATAACATTTGCATTTATCCTAAATGCAGCTACTCTAAGATTTTGAAATATATTTTGGTATATAAAGGTTGAAACTAAATATATTTTTAATTGTAAAAATATAATTCATTGAGCATTCATTTTACAACATACATTTAGCAAAATATTTTGGCCAGAAAAAATAAATCTGTATTTTTGCCGCATGGGATTATTTGTGTCCTGACTGTGGTGGACTTCCAAAACAGTCTCTAACTGAATTATTATCCTGTCATGTGTGTTTGAGCGTCACCTGTGATTCGCCCGTTGGCCTCCAGCGGCGGCTGCCAGCTAATCAGAATGGCTCGTGGACGTCCCTCTCGGCCAATCACAGTCAGGTCCTTTGGGGCTGAGCTCGGTGCTGACCAATGGAAAGAGAGAGCATTTGCGCTGTATTTTGCTCATGTCAGATTGAGACTTTCATATTTAATACCTGTGACTTTACTATCCGACGCTCAGAGATGACGAGCAGTTCTTTAATTCCAGCACTACACAGAAACTAATTAAATAGCTTCATTAGCCCGAGGCCTCCTATGATCGTGATGTTTCATGTCTTCACTACAGTTAGTTTAAACAGTGATAAATGTGTCTATTCCTGGAGTAAAGATGCTTTTATACACACTGTTTTTCTACATGTACAGGTGGGTGGATAAGAGCTGTCATAAACCACAGGAAGAGGTGTTTTATCAAGCAGTTATACATACCAACACTGAGTAATTATATTCCAAAACTTTTTGTCAGCAGAACCCCTTTGACATCAAAAGTTAATATTTCTATAATTGAACGACACATTCACATTAATGGCACCAAGACATGGAACTAAATATTTATTTATTTATTGCATTTGAGTATTTTCTCCACTTTCTTAGGTGTTGATGGACTCAGATCAGATACTGAGGTGGATGTTTCTGCTATAACACAGTATAAACAGCCGTATACTCAGTGTTTTATAACATAAGATGGACAAGAACGCCTGTGTGTTTGTACCTGCTTCATAAGTGGTGGCATGTGCCGTCATGCTCCACGTGCTGGACTTGCGTCCTTTAGTCACCATAACAGAGAACTCATACATGGTGTTGGGCTTCAGACCCGTGACAGTGTGACTGAGGGCTGTAGTATCAGCCGACTGAAACACACAGAATCACACGTCATAATCACACACCACAATCACAAATCAAATTCACAATCACACATGATAACAATCACATATCACAATTACACATCAAATTCACCATCACATATAATAACAACCACGCATCACAATCATGTCATAATCACTCATCACAAACACATATCACAATTACACATTAAATTCACAATCACAATTACACGTCATAATCACACAGCACATTCATAGCACAATCACATCACAAACACGTCATATTCACACATCACAATCACGTATCACAAACACATCACAATCACACATCAAATTCACAATCACATATAATCACAATCACGCATCACAATCACATGTCATAATCACACATCACAAACACGTCATATTCACACATCACAATCACGTATCACAAACACATCACAATCACACATCAAATTCACAATCACATATAATCACAATCACGCATCACAATCACATGTCATAATCACACATCACAAACACACATCACAATCACACATCAAATTCACAATCATACATCACAATCACATGTCATAATCACACATCACAAACATATCACACATCAAATTCCCAATCACATATAATAACAATCACATATCACAATCACACATCAAATTCACAATCACATAATAACAATCACGCATCAATCACGTCATAATCACACATCACATATCACAATCACATATCACAAACACATCACAATCACATCAAATTCACAACCACATATAATAGCAATTACGCATCACAATCACACGTCATAATCATACATCACAATCACATATTACAATCAAACATCAAATTCACAATCACATATAATCACAATCACGCATCACAATTACAATCACAATCAAGTCATAATCACACATCACACATTTCAATCACACATCATCACACATCAAATTAACAATCACATGTCATAATCACACATCACAATCAAAACAACCTCATAATCACACATAAAATTCACAATCACACATCACAGTCACATAACACACATTACAATCAAACATCACACATCATATTCACAATCACACATCACAGTCACAATGACAATCACACATTACATCAAATTCACAATCACACATCACAGTCACAATGACAATCACACATTACATCAAATTCACAATCACACATCACAGTTACAATCGCACAACACAATCACACATTGCAATCACACGTCATAATCACACATAACAACCACACATGGTCACAACCATGGTATCCATGTGTTATTTGATTGAAAAGCGCTGGTATTGACCTTGTATTTGCTGCTGGTGGAGTGGCTGGTCTTCCACTTGACGGAGTAGTAGCGCACCTCCGAGGACTTCTGGTTCTTGGGAATGGAGTTATCGGCCCAGCTGACGCGCACCGAGTCGGACATGAGTGCCACGGCCTGCACACCTACAGGAGGAATCATGGGCGTGGACGTATCTGGGATGGGGGTAGGGAATTTATCAAACAGATGGAACAGATCGTCATCGGATGGGTCCGAGGGGTCTGTGTGGAGTCATGTTCATGCAGCAAATCATACGTGATCGCAGATGAGAGCGGACAGGACGGACCAGGAATAAAAGAGTGGAAAATGGAGTGACAGAGGAAAAAAGAGACACAAAGAAGAACATTGAGCTCTAGATAGTGACACAAACAGGTAAAGGTGAAAGTCAGAAGAACTACACCGTGAAAAGTGGTAACCCACAGATTTAGACCGTAAAAATTCTAATGAATTCATGTGTTTAGGTGGATTTAGTTACATGAAATTTAAATAAATACATAAATACAAACAAACAGAAATGTATTAACTATCAATAGATAGATAAAACAAATATACAAATTTATCTAAACAAATATATAAAATAATTAAAAATAAATGTTAAAATAATCAATTAATTACTAAATAAATATATAAATAATTAAACAAAGAAATAAATAAAAAAAGATTTGACGAATCAAACCAGTTAAACGTTACCACTGCTAGGTTACCAATTTTTAGTGTACAGGGTGAATCTCAGCAAACACGAACAATATTTTCACACATAATCAAAAGGAAAATTAGAAATTAGATTCTGCATGAAGAAAATTAAGTTTTAAGATTGACTTCACAATTTTACATGAAACCATTGTTTTCACAATAGCAATCCTCAACAGCTGATTGTAATGGGAAAAAATATTATTTGTATTGCAAAAGTACATTTATATATACATAAAGTTAGTATTCAAGCTACATTTATTTTATACAGATTAAATTAACACAGGAATGGGAATTTGGGGTTAAATCTGCTTAAATATGCACAAAAATATGCTGTTAAAATCAGCTGCCTTTTCTTCATGCTAAATATATTTTCTTGTTTCTCTCTTTCTGATTCTGAAGTGAAATATGAGCCGCAAGTGAGATTCACCGAGTAAAGCAGATTAATCTACAGCCTCACCTGAGAGACACCGAGAGAAGACAGTTAGTCAAGAGACAACTAACACACAACCCAGCCATCATCATCATCATCATCATCATCATCAGACAAACACACAACTCTAAAGTTGAAAAGTTTGAAATGATTCACAGCTGGTTCATTTGATTCATCAACCACATTGATTCAATTTCTTCTCATTTCTCTGTGCTCACTAACGTTTCCTCTGATGGAAGAAAAAATAATTTCAAAGCAAATACTGAACATAAATATGAAGATACAGTACACATCAAATACTGTCCGTATATCTCCTGAAGGTTTGTGATCGTATGGGAGACTGGTGTGAAGCACATCACTATAATCAGACTGGAAGGGAAGCTCAGAAATGATCTAAACAGACGTGAGATGCTCCGGTGACCCACCTGACATGGATCTGGTGACGGCGCTCTCGTACAGAGGAACTCCTTCACCTGCGTTATTGAAGGCCTTCAGAGAGATGACGTAATGAGAGCTGGGCTCTGCAAATACACACAAACAAACACAAAAACCTGACTTGATTCTGTTCTGAAGAGCTGGAGATGAGGCCGTTTACAGCAGTTATTAACATGCATCGTCTCAGTGAGCGATTCATCAGACCAGAGGCTCTGGAGTCATTAAAGCTCTTAAAGCTACAGTGCTCAACAGACTGATTCATATATGGAGGAGAGAGTGGACATTCATATATCATAATTCATTTGGTGTGATTATGAAAAAAAAATGTGTTAAAGTGATCAATGCATTTAATGCAGCACCTCATTTATGCAGCTATATGAGCCTAAAATTCAAGAAGTGAGGGCAAAAAGTCACCCGCTTATATTTATATATGATAAAGTTTAGCAATACCACACCAGCAAAAGTGCCATTTCTCCCCAAAAAATATCTGCACGACTGCAAATGTCATATTGATTTAATAGTTCAATAAACAAGAAGTTAGTATCGTTACATTTTAGACACAATGTTGTCTGCTCAATTTCACAAATAAAAACAGTTCCAATCAAAGTCACAGCAGAACTGATGAACGTCTGGTTCGTTGCTGAATGAATCCATGGTTTTAAACAAATCAAGTGAGTCAATGATTCAGTGATTCATTCATAAAACTCACTTGTTTCATGAATGTTTCAGCTGTTTGAATGAATCAAGTGAGTCAATGATTCAGTGACTCATTCATAAAGACTCACTTGCTTCATGAATGTTTCAGCTGTTTGAATGAATCAAGTGAGTCAATGATTCAGTGA